CACTGACTAATGTAGTGTTGAAAGATTGCTGAATGAAATGAATGTATGATTGATGAAGAAAATGAAAGTGTAGTAGTTTGGGTGTGTCATGTAAGACTCTTTTACACCAATCAAGAAGAAGTATGTAAAGAAAAGTTCAAAAATATGTTGAAAATAAAAAATGAATGAATGAAACAAAAGGTAAAAGGTAGCTGTTCATTTCTGCTACTTACTAACTACCACTTCATGAACCAAATGAACCAAAACACAACACAACTCCAGGTCTGTCTGAGAAGGGAACAACATTTTAAAGGGTCCATCTCATGCAAAATAACTCTTTTCACATTGTATCTTCTGCACATAAACAAGCACAATTTGGGTTTCGGAACATCCATTACACAATAGTTATGAAATCTTACTGATTTCATTTCACTGATGACAAACGTGACGTAGGTGACGAGTGAGCCGCCCTTCCTCCGCCCATCTCAGGGAGGGAGGGGGAGACAGACGTGCACCCTGATAGTGGCAGAAATAAACTTTTATTCATCACGGCGATACAGCGCGTTCAGCCGCATGTGTTGGACCTGGAATTGGATGAGGACTTTGAGGAGCACGAAGCTCAAGCACCACGTCAACATCAACTGAACATTACTGATTGGTAAAGTATTAATAAACACTAGTAGATCAACTTATTATATCGTGTGCACTGCAGTGTAGAACAACGAGCTTATGCTGTTGCTTTTGTTTAGGTGTTCATGTGGGAACTGTCAGCCGATGCGGGGTGGAGGCGGTGGAGCGGGGGTTTTCTGCTACGTCACACGTGTCATAGGTGTGTCTGCTGCATCATCGTTGTAGCAGCTTTAGTTCGTTGTCACGTGGGAGGGTGGCAGAAATACACTGCAATTTGTTTAAAAAAAAAACTGAATCAATCTAAAAACCACTTTGGCGACATATACAAGGCCCACACATCACTCTTAGAAGGTAGAAAGCTCTGAAAAGTTGATTTTGCATGAGATGGGGCCTTTAATGTGACTAAAAGTTCATATTTGTAAATTGTGTGTAATATACGACTTTTAAATATTGTGGATATAAACCAGGCGTGTCCAAACTATGGCCTGTGGACCAAATGCTGCCCTCAGACAATTTTTTGTGAATTGGCCCAGATTACCTTGCATCAATTAAACATTAACTTTTTACTGCAAGTTTTTTGAAAATCTACCTTGATAAAGCAAATATTTAATATGTGAATTGTGGTTTCAAGGATCTTAGCGTGAATAAAGACTGATGGCTCATTCTAACGTGTTAAACATGCACATATTTCAATTATTCACTGTATTGAGCTCCAGTCTAGGCGCTCGATCAGCCCTCTGCTTCATCTGTGTTTAGACATGTGGCCCTTGATGAAAAAAGTTTGGACACCCCTGATATAAACAAATACAAATCGTCATCACAAAAGCAGACATATATTTTTATAAAGCCAAAGCCCAACTTAAATTTGCACTGTGTAACTTTTCTGGTGGAGAGTCCATCAAATGCTTTTCTCCAGATGTTACTACTTTTCCTACAAAGTTCCACAGTATGGCATTAAACCTTTCTATCTTCACTGAGACTAAACCAGATCAGATCTGTGGAGAGGTGATCCCGCTCACAGTCAGAATGTCTGTTTTTCTCAGTATTTTTGAGCTGTAAAACCACCTGTAATTGAATAAATGTAAAGTAGAGCTGTTTAATGTCATACTGTGGAATATTCCAGGCAGAACAATGACATATCTATAAAAAGAAACAAGAAAGAAAAAGTCAGGTATTGCACGGTTAAAGCTTACTGTTTGAAACGTGGCTGGACTTCTCCTGTGTGGGGTGAGCGGTGGGCTACACCAGGCCTGTATTGTTCCAGTTTCCAGCTCGTTCCAGTGATTGTGTGCGGCTCAGAACAGGGAAGAGTCTTTGTTTTGTCACGCTTTCTCACTGTACTCCGCTTTTGTGGCTCATTCAAAACTGTTTGGATTTGAGCTAACCGCCTGTACACTCCTTTAGTTCCATCATATTTAGTTGCAAATAAAAAAATGTTACAGTTATCTTAAAAGAAAACGTGAGTCGAAATCAGCGATGCAAAATCTATGGCTGTGTTCTGAAGAGTTTTCCAGCGAAATCAAGAATATATCAAGGTAAGCTTTATTCAATTTGACCAAGTTTTTAAAATATATGTCACTGTTATATCAGAAAATAAAATGTAGTCATCAATATTGTAAATTGTACAATGTTTAGTTGAATAATGCTGCTGCTAAAAAGCTAAAATTTTGTGTGAATGAAACAAAACACAACTCCAGGTCAGTTTGTGATGAGGAAACATTATAAAAGATTAAAAAAATAGTTTAATATGAGCACTTTTATAAATAGAGCTGTGTCAAAAATGCAGTAAAAAGAGATTATTCAAATTAAATCAATGTTTTGTTAATTTAATTTGGGGATAAAACGAGATTACTGCAATTCTAGGCTAGATGGGCTTTTATTTTTTGTTTCTTACCGTTTCAGTCTTTTCACATTTGTCACGTTTTAGAAAATTTCTTCTTGAATATCATATATAGTCATTGCAATACTCAAATAAATCTAGATCCACCCCTACACAGTACTGGGATGGAATGATATATATACCGAAAATACATATCTGAATACAAATTTTGAGTACCTGTATTCAGTTCAGCTACTTTTTCATGTGAATATGGTTATTTTCCTAAATGAAAAGAAATACTTCATCATGTACTCTTGAACTGCACAGTATTAATGGGAAAAAAAGAAAGGACAGTTTTTGTGCAGAGTGCATGAGCCAATTTTTTCTCACAAATTACACATAAATGAGTGCAAAAAAAAAAAAAAAAATGGCAGGTAGGAAACGACCCTTACTGCAGGTTCTGTGAGGAGGAAGAGGAAGATCTGTTTCACCCGTTTTATTTTCGTCCTTATGCTGCAAAGTTTTGGATTTCTGTTCAATCTCGGGTACAGTCAACACGAATTTCTTTTTGAAATTTCCCCCACTCACACCTTTTCTGAATACAATTATCTTGTTAGAAAATATTTTTATTATTTTGGCTTCAACAATGTCAAATTTATGTTTAGAATAAGTTTAAAATAAGTTTAAAAACATAATTCACAATCAGTACAATCTAGAAAAACATAATTGCCATGGAGAATAACAACCTATTTGAGCGCAATAGGAAATGGAATATTTGCTCACTGAAATTAGGGATATAATAATAAACATCATTATTGTTATTATTTATTTCTTGTGTGTAAAATCCGTCAGTCGTCCAGGTAGAATCCATGGCAAAGGACAAATTCAAGTTGTCAACTGGACAAAAGTTTATTTTGATCGAATACATTTCACAGTTCATCCAAGCTGCTTTTTTAGTTGGTCAGACGCTGGTGAACACTTCCTTCTATCTGTCTGAAGGGAGGAGCCAACTACACTAAAACTATTCTGAAACTAACACACCTACTTGTTTACAGTTTCTGTTTGTGAATTGGTCTATTGTCTCTATTCAAGCTTACATCACAATCCAGGAAGACGTTTGGAAAGGTGCAATTACAACTTCCCAGGCCTAGTTTTCTTCATCTCCGTGTCATTGTAGTGTTTCATTATGTTCGGCTAATCAACAGTTACAATCACACCTCAGTTTTCATCATTTCCCCACTGACACACAACTCCGAGTGCACTGGTACATGTGATTAGAAGAGATGAGGCGCCAAATTCCAGATGATTCCAAACAGCACATATGTCTGCAGTCTTCATTTTACCACTGATCACATTTACTTCAGTGGGTGTGATCACAGTTGATTTTAATAGATCCATGTTAGGCAAGCCCAGTGTTGGGAACTACACCGGAAGTTGTCATCGGATCTTTTCAAACGTCTTCCTAGTTTGTGACGTAAGTGTGAATAGAGCCTGTTGAACTGCATTCAGTGTGGGGGCAAATTCGCATAATCATACAGGCCTATAATGGGTGCTTACTTATTTCTTGTTTCTCTAGTATGAGTCTGAGTATGGATGTGATGCGTTTGTGGTGTGTGGTTGAGTATGAAGCCTGACCTACCGTATACAACAGTATAAGTCGCACAAGCCAAAAAATGCATAATGAAGAAGAAAAAAACATATATAAGTCATACCAGACTATAAGTCAGACTTTTTGGGGGAAATTTATTTTATAAAACCGACCTTTCATCTTGAAAGGCATGCTATAGTAATAACAATAGAACAGAGAACAACAGACTGAATAGGTGTCTGGTATGTTAACATCACATATGAACAGTTCTTCAGATAACTACAGCATAAACAACAGAAGATTGGTAAACAGAAGTTTATCAAACTCTCGATCTCACTCCAAATCACTAAATCCATTGAATCCATTGAATTCTTCATCCTCTGTGTCACTTCTGAGCAACTCAGTACAACTTTAGTCATCACTGAATTCCAGACATGCTGCACCCTCCCAGTTCCCGTGAAGTTGTGTTCTCCATTCCCGCTTTCCCCCAGTCCCTCACAAGTTTCTCACTCTTACTTTTTGCTGCTTGATTACCATTTTCAGCTCAATATTTCACTACTTGCAGCAGGACAGCGACTTTTTCTGCAGGAGACATGCACAGAAAACTGACACACAAGCCTTGAGCCTCTCGCGGTGTTCAGTCTGAAAATTTTAATATATAAGTCGCACCTAAGTAAAAGTCACGGGAAACACCCAAACCATGAAAAAAAGTGACACTTATAGTCCAAAAAATATGGTACTTGGGATTTGTCAGTAATAAATCAACAATAATAAAGCTGATTGGATTATATGTCACGTTTGTTTACTATAAAAGAATACAACTCAAGGTAAAAGTAGTTTAAGCATTCAGAATACAGTACTCAGATTAGCTCATGTAATAGAACACGTTACAAAATTCATTTCAAACAGGGTATTTAGTACTCAAACATTTTCTCACCAGCCTCTCTAATACACTCTAATCTTTACTGATTCTCAGGTGTGGCGATGGGCGACTGGTCTATCCTGGGGCGTTTCCTGTCTGAAGTCCAGAACCACTCCACGGTGATCGGGAAAATCTGGCTCACCATGCTCCTCATCTTCCGCATCCTGCTGGTGGCGCTGGTGGGCGACGCCGTTTACAGCGACGAGCAGTCCAAGTTCACCTGCAACACTCAGCAACCGGGCTGCAACAACGTCTGCTACGACACCTTCGCCCCTGTCTCCCACCTCCGCTTCTGGGTTTTCCAAATAGTCCTGGTGTCCACTCCGTCCATTTTTTACATCGTGTACGTGTTGCATAAAATCGCCAAAGATGAGAAGATGAACGGACGAAGGACTCACGAGGCGGCGGAGGAGAGGACTCAGAGCTGCGGGCAGGTGGAGAGGGTCGGGGTTCCGTCGTGTTATTCGGGTTTTAACGAAGACTGGGACACGAGGGAGAAAGAGGAGCAGAGTTTTGTGGAAGAGGATTATGGAGAGCTGGGAGAAGACCCCACGCAACAGTCCAACCAGGTCTGAGCATCAGTTATTGTGTTAAAAGATGCACTGCGTAACTTTTCTGATGGAAGCTCCGTCAAATGCTTTTCACCATGAAGATGTTACGGCTTGGAATGTTGGAATGTTTCACAGTATGATATTTGACCTTTGTATCTTCATGGAGATCAAACCAGACCAAGTTACAGGTCAGGTCTGTGGAGAGACGACCCCACTCACAGTTTTCTGGGTATTTTAGAGTTATAAAACCACATGTAATTGAATAAATGTAAGGAAGTTTACTGTTTAATGTCATACTGTGGAACATTCCAGGCAGAGCAATGACAAATCCATAGAAACAAGCGATCAAAAAGTTACAAAGTGTGTCTTTACCTGAATGGACATTTAGAAATAGGCCAGCAACAAAAGTGGAGGTATTGGAACTGAAAATACAGGGTGTCCCAAAAAAATTTGACATCATTTCACAGGCCAATAATTTTGGCAAATCTTGCTGAAATAACCTCAAATTATACTAATACCAGCTCACTACTACCGTATCTTCCGGACTATAAATTGCTCTGGAGCATAAGTCGCACCAGCCAAAAACTGTGTAATGAAGAAGAAAAAAACATATATAAGTCACACCGGACTATAAGTCGCACTTTTTGGGGAAATGTATTTTCTAAAATCAGAGACCAGGAACTGACATTTCATCTTGAAAGGCAAGTTACAGTAATAACAACAGAACAGAGAACAACAGGCTGAACAGGCATTAATATGTTAACCTAACATATTAACAGTTATTCAGATAATTCTAGCTTAAACAACAGAACACAAGTTTACCAAACTCACAATCTCACTCCAAATCACTAAATCAATTAATTTCTTCATCCTCAGTGTCACTTCTGTGTGACCTCCAGAGATAAACCATAGATCCATGAGATAAACGGAGTGCCACTTTCTCTTCTGTGTCACTGTCGTCAGACTCAGCATCAGTTCCAGTTAGAATTATTCCAGCCTTTCTGAATCCCGACAGGATGGTTTTGGTTGTCATTGAAGTTCAGGCTTTGTCCATTCATCCAGGAAAGGACTTCCAGGAAAGTTACATGGCGCACCATGCCGATTCCTGTGAAGTGTTCTCCATCCCCACTTTCCTCCAGTCCCTCACAAGTTTTTTGCTCATTCCAAATTTTCTTTCTGCTGCTCGATCACTGTTTTCGGCTGAATATTTCACTATTTGCTGCGAGACAGCGGCTTTTTAAACAGGAGACATGTGCAGCAGAGTGAAGTGACAGTGGTACAGGAGTAATAGTAGCAGCAGATACTGACACACAAGACTAGAGCCTCTCACAACTGTCAGCCTGAAAATTTTAATATATAAGTCGCTCTGGAGAATAAGTCACAGGAAGCACCCACACCATGGAAAAAAATGAGTCTTATAGTCCAAAAAATATGGTATACATCTGAAATATCTTGGTTAAAGGTGCCATGCATGGGGATTTCATTGTTTAGCCTTAAATGTTCCACAGTATGGCATATTATATATATATATATATATATATATATATATATATATATATATATATATATATATATATATATATATATATACTATATACTGTGTCCATTCTTCCAAATAGGACATTTATACATGTGTCTCAAAAAATGTGACATCATTTTGCAGGCCAGTAATTTTGTCAGTTCTTGCTGAAATAACCTCAAATTTTCACTGAATGTTTAGAAACAGATCAAGATTTTATATTTAATGTTTTCTTTTTGTTCTGTTTTCAAGTTGAGCTGTTCACCCCCAAAGAGAAGTCATTTTGTGTCTTGAAATATGCTCACATACATTCATCCAAGACTGTGCAACGTGTCTTCAATGCAAAATGTGGAAAAACTTCACCAACTGGCAAACAAATTTGGACTTGAAATCAAAAATTTTAACAGGAAAGCTGTTTATGTATTGCCAGGCTGGTGCCACCTAGTGCCTCCTCTCAATTTCATTTTTCTCCAGCGACTAGGTCAGGAATCAGAATACACTAGACCAGGGGTCGGCAACCCAAAATGTTCAAAGAGCCATATTGGCCCAAAAAACAAAAAACAAACCTGCCTGGAGCCGCAAAAAATTAAAAGCCTTATATAAGCCTAATATGAAGGCAACATAAGCTGTCAGTATATTAGCTATATAAGCCGACTATTAAAATGACTAAGTAGGCTACAAATACAAAATGAGCATTCATGATACACAAACCCCTCTGTGACACTCGGTGCTCCGTCTGTAGCCACTGAAATCAGGTGGTTAGTGTTTTCCTTTGTCATTTAGGCCCCGTTTACACGTACACGGGTATTTTTAAAAACTGAGACATTTTCCTTCGTTTGTTCACATCATTTACACGCAAACGGTGAATTCGCCTCTGAAAACGAATCTTTCTAAAAACTCCGGTTTCACGTTTGCGTGTAAACTGAGATAAACGGAGTTTTAGGAGCTGATGTGCTGAAAGTGCGACGGACGTTTACCTGTTGCTTTGACGATGATGATGGAAGTATTCAAAACAGCAGTCGCATTTCTTCTGATCGTGCATAGGAGCACTCAGAAAACAGCAGCATGTAGAAGTTTGTACGCAACATCAGCCCAGAGCAGAAGCTCTGAGCTCGGGCAGCAGCACCAAACACACAGGAGCAGTCAGCACGCAGCTCCTCAAGACGGGGCTGGGGGTCCAGTGTTGGTCAGATTGTCTGGAGGCTTCGTCCTCCGTGTCCTGGTTCCAGACGGGGGTGAGCAAGACCAGCGCACAAAGGACTGGGTCTGAACGGTTCCGTGTCGTCCTCTGTGCGCTGGTTCTGTGTGGGAAAAGCGAGAATGCGCTGTGGACCACAGGTCCGGGCTGCTCCGGTCCTCCGCGCTCGACTGCAGCCTGGTTCGGAGGTGGTGCAGCATCCAGACAGAAGCGTGAATCCCGTTTGGTTTGTTGTATGGTGTTCTGAGTGGTCCGTCTGCGCACGTGTCTTTTTTTTTTTCGAGGAAAGCGCTTCTCAGGTGGAGGCACCGGACACCACCCCCGCTTCAGCTCATCTGTTTGTTCTGCTGAAACACTTTTAATGTCTTTGCATTTGCACACAGCGGATGGATCAGATCCAAGAGCAGAGATGAACGAGGGTTTTATCCCTAAAGAAACCAGTTTAAACAACAACAACAAAAAAATCATTTCTTTTCCATTTTCACTCATTTTTGAAAAAGCTCCAAGGAGCCACTAGGGGAGTGCTAAAGAGCCGCATGCGGCTCCGGAGCCGCGGGTTGCCGACCTTTGCACTAGACGGTTTGCAAAAATCCCGGAAGTGCGAGTTTGGGCACCAGCCAATCAGCAAAGAGCCGTACATTTTTTTTTGGCAACGATTCCCGAGATCGAGGATTTAAAGCCGGAACAAAGAGAATGTTTGGTGAATTTTATCAAGGGGAAAGACGTTATTGTCCTTCTTCCTACGGGATTTGGGAAAAGCTTAATATACCAGTTAGTCCTGTTAGCTGCGCAATACATATGTCATGACCAAATAGCAGCGATTGGTTAAATAAAAAAAGTACCTGCCTAAAGTCGAGCGAATGAATCCTAATGCTGCAAGGTCAGACTGTTTCTAGGAAGTGAAACTGACTGATGAATCAGGCTAGTTTGTGCAGGACTAAAGGATTACATATGTGTGCGAGCATAATCCAAGACTCAAAATGACTTCTCTTTTGGAGTGAAGGGCTCAATCTGAAAACAGAATAAAAATAAAACAAAAAATCTGGATCTGTTTCTATACATTGTGAGAAAATTTGAGTTTTTTTCAACAAGAATTGCCAAAATGACGAAGTGATGTCAAATTTTCTGGGACACCTTGTATAAATGTTCTATTGGGAAGAATGGACACAATTTAGAAACACATGTAACTGAATAAAAGGTTAATGTTTAATGCCATACTGTGGAACATTTAAGGCAAAACACTGAAATCCCCATGCACGGCACCTTTAACCAAGATATTTCTGATGTATAGTAGTGAGCTGGTATTAGGGGGTAGTTTTTTACACAAGGACCAACATTTCAAACTGTTTAGAATATACGGAAGCGACTTTGCAACTTTACAGCTTCTGGAACATAAAACCAAAAGTAAGTCATTATTTGTGTTCCTTAGAGCTACCATCTGTACGTTTATTTGATTTCAGACGGCAGATGTCTCCACACGTCTGACCTATAATTTGGCCTGGCAGCGTAGCCCGCTCGACTCTGTAGAAATAGATTTTTCACTGTCATATTGAAAAACATTCCTGGCAAAAGGCTTCACATCTCCACGGAGACAAGAAGGTGACGTGTCCTACCCCCAAAAAAGTTACACAGTGTGCCTTTAAAGGTCCTATATTACACAAAACTGACTCTTGTGAGATTTAAATCATGTTATAATGTTGTTTTCTCATTCACACATGTTTGAGTAACTCATTATTATTAGTCTGTCTACATCTCCAAAGCTTAAAATGTTTTGTTCCACCTTGTGATGTCATGAAGTGATTGAGTGAGTGAGTTTACAAGTTAATGGCATACATAATGGGTGCATTTTACCTTTAATTCAGCAGAGATTGGATGTTTTCAGCACTGGAATTGCCACATGATTACAGTGAAGGTGTATGGAGTTTACGCCTGTATTACCTCATGACATCACAAGTTGGAACAGGGTGTTTTCTGATTGAGAGAAGAACTCAGCCAAAATATGCAGAATTTGTGTGTTAAATATGTTTGAATGAAACAAAACACAACTCCAGGTCTGGTTATGATGAGGAAACATTAGAACATAGAGCAGAAAATAGTGTAATATAGCTCCTTTAAAACTATCTTATGTAAGTTTATATGATTTTCTTTTTTAACCAGTAGATGGCAGACGTCTCCACTGAATGGACCAATAATTTGGCCTGGCACGTTGCCTGCTCGTCTCTGAATAGATCTGTTTAATTGAATTTGCCATACTCTGCATGATTCCTGCCAAAGCGCTTTTCACATTTCCTTTTTGAACATAGCAATGGAAGCGTTCACACTTGTATTTAATGTCTTGTCTGACATGGCTATATTTATGTATACAGGGTGTAGGTGTATATGTGTAATATATATATATATATATATATATATATATATATATATATATATATATATATATATATATATATATATATATATGTATGTATACTGTAGCTGTGTGTATATGTACAAGGTATGTTTGTATATGTATGTATTTATATTACTTTGTTTTTTGTGTTTTATTTTCTACTTTTCACCTTCATTGCCATGTTCAAAATAAAACGAATGATTAATAATCAATCACATTTCCACAGAGACAAGCAGGTGACATTAGCCTGATTCATCACCTCGCAGCATTAGGATTGGTTCACTCGACAGTAGGGGGGTACTTTTTAAATTTAACCAATCTCTGCTGTTTGGTCGTGACATATGTAATGCGCCGTTAACAGGGCTAACTGGTATATTAAGTTTTTCCCAAATCCCGTAGGAAGAAGGACAATAACGTCTTTCCCCTTGATAAAATTCACCAAATATTCTCTTTGTTCCGGCTTTAAATCCTCGATCTCGGGAATCGTTGCCAACACAGAATATATGGCTCTTCACTGATTGGCTGGTGCCTGAACTTGCACTTCCGGGATTCTTGTAAACCGTCTAGTGTATTATTTTGATTCCTGACCTAGTCGCTGGAGAGAAATGAAATTGAGCAGAGGCACAAGGTGATGCCAAACTGGCTAGGGTGACACGCCCTCCCCCAAAAAGTTACACAGAGCAACTTTAAAGCTCCTATATTAAATTAAATGAATTCTTGAAGCTTTAACACATGTTACAATGTTGTTACCTCCTCAAAAACAGACCTGGTGTTGTGTTTTGTTTCACTCACATATTTTTGAGTAACCCTTTATTATTAGTCTGTAGGGATGTAACAGTAATCAAACTATCGTGATATTGTATCCTCAGAAGTCTCACAATAAGTTATTTTGCTTAAATGCATTGTTCTTTAGTAGGAACAGCTAATAAACATAGGAAACTGTGTGTCCCATGATTGATTTCAGCACAGTCAATGTGAAAAAATATGTTTTTTACTTGAATTCTTGAGATTCTGACAGTAATAATTTATACCAAAATCTTGTCAGGGTATTTTAAAAGCAAAAAAGTGTCCTATCTAGAATTATATTTGCCACTCCAAAATATCACATTAAATATTGAACCATGACATGCATATCATGATAATATCGTACTGAGAGATTTGGATATCGTTACATCCCTATTAGTCTGTCTACATCTCCAAAGCTCAAAATGCTCTGTAATGTTTCCCTTTTACCTTTAGTTCAGCAAATATTAGCAATTCTGGTATTGAAATCAATCCATGTATCATTCGTTCGTTTGTTTTTCGATATAAAACAGTATTATTTGTCTCCAAAACCAAAATCAAAAAACAGATAATGATTAGTTTTTTCAGTTTTCGATTGTCTTTAAATGAAATATGGAAAAAACAGATAACGACCATTTCCCGTTTCTGTGACTTAAACTGTGATGCCGAACTTTTGCGCCACATATGGACTAAACCAGGTCCAGGACCAGGCCGGGAATGAAACCAGGACTGAGACCGGAACCAGACAAGGACTCTGGCTGGGACCAGGACCAGAAATCAAGATTGAGACTGGGAACAGGACCAGGACTGAAACCGGGACCGAGATCGAGACTGAGATGGGGACTAAGACCGGGACTAAGACCGGGACTAAGACCGGGACTAAGACCGGGACTGAGACCGGGACTAAGACCGGGACTAAGACCGGGACTAAGACCGGGACTGAGACCGGGACTAAGACCGGGACTAAGACCGGGACTAAGACCGGGACTGAGACCGGGACCAGACCAGGACTGAGGCTGAGACCAGACCAGAACTAGATTGTGATTGAGACTGGGACCAGACCGGGGCCAAGACTGGGACAGGGACCGAGACCGGGACCAGACCAGGACTGAAAACGGATTAGTCCTTTTTTAGTCCCGTTTTAGTCCTGGTTCAGTCCGTATGCGGCGCAAACGTCCGATATCACAGTCACGGAACTCACGGAAATAGGAAACATCCATTGTCAATTTTTTTCCATTCTTCATTTAAACACAAAATCAAAAACTGAAAAAACAGTTATCCTTTTTTTTTTTTCATTTTGGATTTGGAGACAAATAATGAAGAAAACAGTTATTTTTTTGTTTTCTCATATTTTTTATATTGAAAAACAAATGAACGAATGATACACAGATTAAAATCATCCAAATGATTCTAGTATTAGAGTATTTTAATTTCAAGAACTCAGCCTAAATCTGCAGGGTTTGTGTGTTAAAAACAGGTGAATGAAACAAAACACAACTCCAGGTCTGTTTGTGATGAAGAAACATTATAACACAGATCAGAAAATAGTGTAATATGGGCTCTAACCATGAAAAACTGTTTTGAGATTGCTTCTATTTCTGTTCCAGGTGTTACTCATCTACATCCTGCACGTCCTGCTCCGGTCAGTTATGGAGATCACCTTTTTGATCGGACAGTATTTTTTATTTGGTTTCGAGGTTCCTCATTTGTTCCGCTGCGAGACGTACCCCTGCCCCACCCGCACGGACTGCTTCGTGTCCCGCGCCACCGAGAAAACCATCTTCCTCAACTTCATGTTCAGCATCAGTCTCGGCTGTTTCGTTCTAAACGTGGCAGAGCTGCACTATTTAGGTTGGGTTTATATATTTCGGGTCCTGTGCTCTGCTTGTTCCACCTGCTGCTGCCAAGAAAAGGACGAGGTTCACATTTACGCCCATCACAACCCGCTGACGCTGCAGTTAAAGCACTCGCTGAGAGGACAGTTGGTGCTCCAGACTCCAGCGCTGGTCCCAGATAAGAGCATGCTGACCCACACTCCGGCCATCTCCTTCCAGACAGACTCGACAGTGGAGTGCACATCCAAAAGGAGCCCGGAGAGACGGGACAGGGTCAAAGTGAAGCTGGCAAACGTGGCCCGCGCAGGACGGACTAAGAAATCATGGCTCTGATTTGGACAATTAAAAAAAATAAATGATAAGTGTGATAAAAGTGGCCTAATTTCTGATCTGTTATAATGTTGTTTCCTCGTCACAAACAGACCTGGTGTTGTGTTTTGTTTCATTCACACATGTTTAACACACAAATTCTGCATATTTAGGCTGAGTTCTTCTCTCAAACTGAAAATGCTCTACCTTGTGATGTCATCATGTGATAAAACAGGAAGTGCTCCATACATCTTCACTAGAATCATGGAGAATTTCAGCCCTGGAATTGACAATTTCTACTAAACAAAAGCGAAAATGTAGCTGTTAGCTTGAAAAACTTGTTTCATGACATCACAAAGTGGAAGAGAGCATTTTGAGCTTTGGAGATGCAGACAAGACTAATAATGCAGGATTATTCAAACATGTGTGAATGAAACAAAACACAACTTCAGGTCTGTTTTAGACAGAGTCCCCACTCTTTTTCAGTGACAAAATTTCAAAACTTTTCAAGACTTTTTCATGACCTAAAGTGAATTTTCCATAACTTTACAGCACCTACATGTGTAGAATTGATCAGACTTTTAGGACTAAATATGAAATGTTAAGGCAAGGAGAAAATTCAGTTTGTCGACTGGACAAAAGTTAGTTTGGTTGAAGACGCTTCGCAGCTCATCCAAGCTGCTTCTTCAGTTCTGGTCAGACGCTGGTGGACACTTCCTTTTATCTGCAGGGAGGAGCGAACTAACTTAAATTAACACACACACTTGTTTACAGTTTCTGTTTGTTAGTTCGGCCTATTGACCTGTACAGGGTGTGTGGGGTCTAATTAGCAGAACAATTCATGGCCATAACGTCTTCAACCTAAGTTACTTTCATCATGTCGACAAACTGAATTTTCTCCTCAACATAGATTCTATCTGGACGACTGAGGGATTCTTCACATATGCAATATTAACTCTTTCCACTCACCTTATGGTTTGGGATTATAGTTTATCAACATTCAAAATCCTGTCAGTGCATTTATTGTCGTCGCTTTTAAACAAAAGGCGCAGACGTTCGAAAATAATCTGAACAGTCTAATGTTAACTTAATAGAACGCTGTAGTTGCAAGAAAGAGATTAAACTTCCATGACTTTTCCAGGCCTTGAAAATGACATTTTCAATTTCCATGACTGTGGGAACCCTGTAGATGAGATAACAACATTATATCATGGCTTAAAGCTCACAAGAGTCCATTTGTTGTAACATAGTAACTCCACTGTAACATTTCTGGTGGATGGTCTGCTAACTTGTTTCCAATGAGATGTTATTGCGTTGCCTGAAATGTGGGACATCACCCACAGCGTTCAACCACAGACCGCGTATATACGAGTGGACTAATATGCCGCCGTGTGCCATATAGGAAGTTCTCCAGGAGGCTCTTCCGGCTCCTTTTGACTCTGGCTCCAATTGACTTACATTAGAATCTTGTGGCTCCTCTCTCTGTACCTGCTGCTGTGAGACTCGTCATTTTGGTCTTAAAATGTTCGTATTAACCCACAACACATGATCCTGAATTTTTTTTTGTTTTTTTTTTGCCATTTTGTCCGTCAAAATAAAAAACCTATTCATAACATTGAGTCTGGCTCCAGATTGGCTTCTGTAAGCATTAGCACCTCGAGCATCATTTGAGCGGCGCTGAACACTGTGGGTGACGTCACACTCGTTTAGTCCACTTCTTTATACAGTCTATGGTTCAGCTCCGCTCAAATAAAGCTTGTGTTGTTAATGGTTACAGTTAATGAATTTGGCCTCTATATTATGAATAGGACTTTTGTGATGAACAAAATAGCGACTTTTAAAAACATCAGCATCATGTAGAGCGGATTCATTGGTAGTTTTCAGATTTTAGAATGTGATGATGTCATACTCCCAGATGGAGGGTGAGGGGTCAGTTTTCCCATTTGATTACATTGTACTTTGCCATGGAATATCCAAAACATAAATCCACAAATGTTTAACCTGGTCATGTCTACTATTTACTAGAATCAAGAACTCACTGTATTTAGGACAAAGATCTGCTTTTTCACAATACTAATTTTAGCTGCCCCCATCTGTATTAAATATTGGCCTATAGAATGTTGTGATTTAGTGTTGTAGTACTCGAGACCGGCCTTGAGACTGTTTTTTTTTTGTGGCTCGTCTTGGACTCAACCAGGTTTAGACTTGGTCTTGTCTTGGTCTCGAAGAGCGACAAAATGGAGATAGCTTTACAAAAACATTGATATATATACCGTATTTTCCGCACTATTAGGGGCTCTGGATTATAAGGTGCACTGTCATTAAATGGTCTATTTTCAAACTTTATTCACAAATAAACCGCACTGGACTTTAAAGGAAACACAACAGTGTGATGGGTGAGTGGTTTTGTTTGTTTGTGGCGTTCACGGTGACTCTGGGCTTTGTTCAGTTGTGGCGTGTAGGGAGGGTGTGTCTGGGACCAACGGATTGTCGGCGTGTTCGCAGTGACTCAGTTGTTCAGTCGTGTCTAGAAGTGGCACATTGGACTCGCTTTTTCGGTTCGTTCCTCCGTTCTGTTCCTCGACGGCGTGGACTGATGAGTGTGTCTGTGGGTGTTTTTCGCTGTGCGGTCGCTGGTTGCTCCGTGTGTGTTTGCGTGTGCAGCGCATGGTGCGGCTTTGTAGTTTACTGAAGTCTGGGACACCCGAGTGGATTTGTGTATGGGGCGCTCTGGGTTGTGGGGCGCGCGGTCGTTCTTTGATGTGGCTGGAGGATTAAGAGTGCGTCTAATAGCCCGGAAAATACGGTACGTGCCAAAGTAACTGTAGAGTACAAATAAATGTAAAAAAAAACAACAAAGATGGTCTCGATGGGCTGTGGTCTCAGTCTTATACAACACTATTGAGATATCATCTGAAACCCAGCAATATGAACATTTTAAGACCAAAATGACGAGGCTCACTGCAGCAGTTAGAGAGAGAGGTGCCATGATATTCCAGGGTCAGAAGGAGCCAGAAGAGCTGAATTTGCACTTCTATTTGGAACACTGAGGCCAGTGCGTTAGTTATGTCCATTTATACATACAGTCTGTAATTAAACCTGTGTCTCTTTCTTTACTCAGTTTCAGGTGTTGTTGTTGCTTCTAAAACCCCTTTGTGACCCTTTACATACTGTATCTGTCCTGTAATTTTGCCTGGTGGCGTCACCTGCTCGTCTACATAGAAAAAGAAAAAGAAAGACAAGCTTAATGTCATACTGTGGAACATTCCAGACAAAGCAATAACATCTTCATAGAAAAAAGCAGGTGGCTGACACTCCACAAGAAAATGTACATAGCTGCAGCTTTAAATCAGCACTCGATGAAAAAAAAAAAAAAGAAAGGACATTCAAAGTTACAGAATTTGTATAAGGAAATAGATGGAGTTGTGAGGGATGTACAAGTACTTAAAGATCCTATTTTTCTAATTCTATTTAATTTAGGTAGAATTAAAAACATATGGCTTATCTCTTTAAGCCGTCTACTTCTTCTGTTAACCGAATAATAGAAAATAATTGACCAGTTTTAAATATTTAACAGCAAATACTGTTTCCTGGTGTCTGAGAAGATTTAAACTTGATCTTTTCGCAGTCAAATATAATTTGTTTAAGTACATTCAAGAAAAATTGGGGATGCACGCAGACTGAGCACTTTCACATTTATTACAAGAACAAACTGACAAATGTTTTTCTTTTGTGTAAAATAAATAAACTGTCAAAGTGGTTTTAGTTATCTGTCAGAGCTTTGATGAAAATGTATGTATTACCAGATGTATTACCATATTGCTGAGCATTTGAAACTGAATTCACTGTTTTCTAAGAGTTTTGTGGCATTTTGGAAATACAATGAATAAAATCATTCTTATAAAGTTCATGGGTTTTGTATTTTTTCAGATCATACTGTTGTCTGTGGAGCTGAATTGGTCGTTGTTGTCGTTTCTTCTTCTTCTGTTGTTACAGACTGCTGCTCTGCTAACATATCAGTCAGCTTCAGGTCCAGCACTGTGTCCTTGTTCTCTGGCACCACCTGCAGGTCACAGCAGATAAACACGCAACAAAAGACATTTAGAGTCACTTTCAAAACCCAAATTCAATGCACGTGCACATTACTGAAATATAATGTTTTCCTTTTTTTTTTTTTTAAGTATACTTTTATTTCACATAGTCATTTGTGAAAATGTAGTTTCATACACACATATAGGTACATTTTCTCATACCACCCATGATTAGTATTCTCTTATTTGTTTAGGGGGGTTGTTAAGGGGTGTGCAAAAATATTGAAATATTGATATATCGTTTAATGTTATGATACAGTATCGATATCGTGAATGCTGTATCAATATATCGCCAAGACTATTTTTTGGTATATTTTACTAAATTATTTTGTTACAGTGCTACAGTTTTGTGGCTTGTTTATGCAACACATTTGACATTTTCACAGTTTTGATGATTAAAATGTTTGTGTTTCATATGACCTTGGCACATGAAGTGGTTTAACAAAGACTTTTACTATTACAGCCAAGATTTAGCCTGTATTGAATCGATTTGAAATATGTCATATTGAATCGTATCCAATCATAAGACACCTGTATTGAGATCTGTATTGTATCGTGGCTTATGTATCGCAGTATGTATCGTATCGGCAACTTCTGCGATGATTGACAGCCGACTGACAGCCACAACAATCCAACCCGGTGCAGACCGGTGCACTCCGGACTTTGAAACAGAGTGGACATTTGTGCTCAGACCATGCCATTAGTCCAACACAAAAATTCAAATGTACCGACTGTAGTTGATGCTAAAGAGGCCATTACAAACACGACTTTGACCCAAAAGTCTGATTTATAACAAATATGCACAAAACAGGGCCAGGGATAGGTATACATTTCAATTTTAGACACATTTACACAGATAATCAGTAGAAAAAAGTGATTTTGGAGTTTGGTGGCCCTTTAAAGTTCTGACAAAGTTACTCACTGTGGCGGCTCCTCTCCGTCTTAGAATGATGCCTTGAGCCAGTAATCGCTTTCCAGTTTCTTCAAATAAAGCGTCGTCATCCAGGTCTGTGCTGTTCTTTAGCTCCTCGTACTGCTCTACGAACCTGTAGACAGTGAACACAGCACATTATCAATAAATTAAATATTTCTCAGTTTCCTATTTATTCATTTAAGATGGACATAAAATAATAACTTTACATTAAATCAGTGTGAATAAAAAGGAGCAACAAATGCGTGATATCAGTTCCATTTGCACATAAAAAACATTAATGGTTCCAACTTTTTGATTACATAAAACCTATTTAAGTGAGAGAACATAAGGAATAATCAACAAATAGCTGCATTAGTTTTATACTAAACTACACAACTTTTTAACATATAGACTTACCTTACTTTAGAAAAATACAGTGTTTGTTATGGAACAATATAAAACTAATATCACAAAGAAAGAAATTGAAATAATGTCTTTTAAACATGTTGTTTTCTTATTTACCTTTGACAAACAGATACAAATTTAGACTTGGATAAATCCAGCGCCCGAGGTCCGGCCCCATACACTTTATAAAATTTTCTGAAAAGCACAATGGAAACAAGACAAGACAAATAGTTTCATTATTTGATCTCATCCCACAAGAACTCGCAAGACAAAATTGCCACGAGATTGTGCATACATGAGGAAAATTATCGTGAGATTGTTTTCCGTGTCTTTAGTTTTTGGATTTGACAAAAAAGGGAGTTAAGCGGTGGAAAAAGCTAAATATAACAGTTAAATATAAAACAAAATGAATAAAAAAATGGTGAACTGCACAATTTATTTTAAAAACTTATGTCAAAATTCTGTCTAGTCTCATTCTCGTGGACTCAGTTTTTTGTTCATCTCGAGGAAACTGTGTCTCGTACCACATCTATTAATTGTTACGATACAAAAATGCAGTCATTATAAAAGCAAAAAAACTCTAACACTGTAGGAGTGAAAACAACAGGTATTTAAGGACTCTGTGTTAGGTTTGAACGATTTGAGAAAAATATTTAATTGTGATCACGATTAGACTTGCGATTTACCTTTGAATAATAAGATTATTTTCAAATGTCACATTTTAAAAGTGTCAAAAGTGCAAAAAGACTGAAATCTGAACTGACAAACTAATATAAGAATCCCATTTCAGTTTGTACAGCACTAAACTACAGGGTTAGCAGTTTTATGCATAAATTTGTTGTTTGTGGAGGAAATTATGGTACTTAAAAAAATGCAACTTTGCAGCCTACATTGTGTTATCTTGTGTTTGTACTCACGCTCTGATGACGTCTTCAGGGTAGAAAATCTCAGGCACAGTGTCCGTTGTGGGTCTGGTGGGTTGTCGATAGTGAGGTTTGACATACAGAGGGTCTTTCTTTGGGGGAAATGCTGCATAAACATCAAACCAAATGGGCTTCTCGTGGGGCTTCATTACCCCAGCCCGCATCAGGTCTCGGACTCTGCAACAAAACAGTAAATTGGCCAATTAATTTAAATATTCTAACTTTATAAACACATATATTTCAACAATTTAGGGCCTGCTACAATAATTACAAGAGTGATTAACTGTTTATTGTTCAATATAAAGATAGGCAGAACAATATTTTTTGGGGGTTTTGTAGGTATTTTTTACTCGTATTATGATAACATTGGAGCTGTCAAGGTTCAATCAGTGACTTCTGTCTCTCATTATAGATACAAACTAACTACAATATGTGTTTTTTCTTCTGCCATTTATTTTCCTACAGCTAATAACTTTTAACTATATTATACATTTATAATATTTTTGTGAGGATTACCTTTCTTTAGGGTTATTGTATAAGTGGCATAAATTAGTTTGAAATGTATCATTATATTTTCTTCACACTTCAAAATGAGTTAGCGTGACAAGCTTAAAAATTGCCAACAAGTCTTACTGTTGTCCATAGCTTTTTCTGTTTTTTTGTTTTGTTTTTTTTTTCTACTGATGCTTGTAGTTAAGCCAGTCATGATAATTACATTATGGACATATCCTTCAATTAATCACAGACTCAACAATATTTTAGGGGTAAATACCGTGGGATGATACTGTACATTTGCAAGATTTTTTGTGGGATAAGCCTAGTTTAGGGTTGGTGTGTGTGCCATCAATTTTCAATATAATAATTCATCGTCTACCTTCAAAATGTGTTATTCTGAAAGCTCTACTTATACCTGGAAAAATAATATAACGGTAATTATTAATTTAACAAACAGATAACTTAAGAACAGCTACCTTAATACATAATTTTCAAAGGGACCAGGGAGAGGGGAAAAAACTAATTAAAAACATTGAGATGCAGCAGGTGTAAGGTAAACAGATGTCCCTATTTACCCGGGACAGTCCCAGTTTAGAGCCCTGTGTCCCAGCAGATTTATCCAAAACCAGTGATTTGTCCCAGTTTTATACAAGAAATGTCCCAGGTGTCCCTATTCTTGCCCAGTTTGATCCCTACAAACAGTATAGAAAGATATAAATTGTCATTTGTTTAGGTAAAATACAGAAACGTTGTTTAAAAATGACCAAAACACAAAGAAAATGTAGCTATACTGACTCAAGTTAGTGTCGAGTGCAGAACAATTCTCCTTAATTACACACTAGTTTCACAATTTTCAATATTTTTCCCTCCCATTTTTATTTTTTGTTTGAGGTACATTACAAGTAGGGGTGTGCAAAAATATCAGAATATCGATCGTTTAATGTGATGATACAGTATCGATATCGTGGTCTACTGTATCGATATTTCACCAAGAGTATTTTTAGGTGTGTTTTACTAAATTATTTTGTGGCTTGTGGAGTGAAAGGAAACTCATTTATGCAACAAATTTTACATTTTGACTCTGTTTTGAGGATTAAAATGTTTGTGTTTCATATGAACTTTGCACAAGAAGTGGTTTAACAAACACTTTTAGTATCACAGCCATGATTTAGCCTTTATTTTTTATTGAACTGTATCGAATCAATTTGAAATATATCATATTGAATCGAAAGTGCACTGTATTGAGACATGTATCGTATCGTGGCCTGTGTATCGAGGTATGTATCGTATCGGCAACTTCTTAATGATACCCAGCCCTAATTACAAGGTACATTACAAACATAAGGATATGTACATGTACATGTTAGGCACCATTTCTGCTGCTCAAAAGTAGTAGATTGAAGTTTCAAAAACATACTGTGCCATACCCCAATTGTTTTACCTTAACACATGCTTGACACATACATACATATGTAAGTACATACACATATACACACACACAGATATACCTATACATTCACACATACATACATACGTACATATGTATAAACACATATATGCATAAATGCACAAATATATTTTCGTTTGTGGTCATGCAAACTAATAATGATAAAAATAAATAAATAAAAAATGTGGTACCCCAACCTTAAATAATTTTCAGAAGGACAAGGGAGAGGGAAAACAAACGAATTAAAAACAGTGAGCTGCAGCAGGGGTCACTCATGTGTTATTGACCTTCATTTCAGCATTACGTGCATGTGGCCAAAAAGCGTTTAAAAATAAGCCTGATTACAAATTTATGTGACTTCAGTATTGTTTTAGACATCATGGTTTTAATATTTTACTCGGACATTTACATATCAAGCAGTTTTTTGAAGCTTGACTTAAAAACACGCCGCATCTGGCTCTAGTTTAGCTATTTTGAGCTAAAATACTAGTCTAGGGACAATGTCAACAACACGATCGCCACTGAACGAAAACTACGGATATTTAAGCTATATCTGAATTTAATGCAGCAGCAAAATAGTCACCAGATTTGTATAAAAGTACAAACTTACCGGGTAAAAACAGTCCCGACTTTCTCTAACCTGCTGCCCGCCATGTTTTTCTCATGTGTTGACCCTATTTCCGGGTGTTGGCGTAGAGCACTGCGCCCCCTGCTGCTGAGGAGTCGCGTTTAATATAGGAAAACTGAGATAAAAATACCCGAAATATGGCGTTTTGTCGGAAAACACGGGGATAAAGTTGATTATTTGAAGGTAAGAAAGGGTTAGCAGTTAGGTGAACTCTTGAAATATTTATTTTTCGTCCTTTCTTCGGTAATGTTGCGGTGTTTTGTCCTTGTCAGTGTCCCGTCGAGACTAAATTAAACTAAACTGCAGATGTGGCAGTCTACAAAAACTAAGGTAACTATGAATGAAAATGAAATTATTGTTGGTGCATGTATTTATGGATTTTATTATAAACTATAAAGACTTAAGGACTTTTGCTCCAAAAAAATAAAATAAATAAATAAATAAATAAATAAAAACTTGCTATGGTAAATTAATTGCCATCACTGAGACCCAAAACGTCTCACTTCTAAAAATGTAAACTAATTTGTGTGTAATTTACAAATAATAAAATACAGAGGCTAAAACATTAAAATGTCCTTTAGCTAGGGTGACCAGACGTCTCTATTTACCCGGGACAGCCCCAGTTTTGTGTCCCCTGTCCCAGCAGATTTATCCAAAACCAGTGATTTGTCCCAGTTTTATACAAGAAATGTCTCATGTGTCCGTATTTTTGACCAATCTGATCCCTGCCAACAGTATAGCGAGGCATAAATTTTAATTTGTTTAGGTGAAATACTGAAAAGCTGATTAAAAACCAAACCCAACAACCAAAACACAAAGAAAATGTGACTATACTGACTCACATGTTAGTCATGAATAGTATCTGGTATTTGTTTTAATTACACACTGGATTCACAAGTTTATTATTACCAACCACCAAAAAAAGCCGAGCATGTCCCAGTTTTTTTATTTTGAAAATCTAGTCACCCTAATTTAGATCACATTGTGGTTAGATCAGGTCAGTTTTAGTTCTGATCAAATTTCAGATTCTTGTATTTTTCTCGTTTCATTTTTGAACATTGTACCCAACATTTTATAGCTTTTTTTTAGAAGGCAAACTACACAGGTTCAGACGTATATATGAGAGGTTGTAAAGGAAGGTAGTAGTTAAGTATTACACCACATGCTGTTTGTACTGCAGGCAGGTTTTACTGTGGACCCAGAGAAAGTGAACTCTTACCTGAGTCAGCTGACAGAAACCAGCATGTGGGGCTAAAGTACAACAGTTAAACCATCGCCACAGCTAGGGGTAAGTATTCAAATACTGTCACAATGAAGTACTAGTATGTTGTGCATCAAGAGCAGAGAGTAAGAGCAGAGTATATGAGTATAAAAGTAAAAGTATATGGGAAAAAACTAAAAACTAAAATCTACCAAAATACATCAGCTAAACCACAGCAGGTGCATCATCTGAAACACAAAGGGACATGTTTAAAATGAGACAATACAAGCCAACTTCTAGTAGTAGTAGTAATAGTAGTAGTGCATATCTTATACATTTACAGTATTATCAACAAGTATCTTCATATTAAACCAACTGGACTTACTTCTGTTAGTAGTAGTAGTAGTAGTAGTAGTAGTAGTAGTAGTAGTAGTAGTAGTAGTAGTAGTAGGAGTAGCAGTAGTAGTAGTAGTAGGAGGAGTCGCAGTAGCAGTAGTAGTAGTAATTCATATCTTATACATTTACAGTATTATTAACAAGTATCTTAAAACTAAACCAACTGGACTTACTTCTGTTTGCAGTAGTAGTAGTAGTAGCAGTAGTAGTAGCAGTGGCAGTAGTATTAGTAGTAGTGGTAGTAGCAGCAGCAGCAGTAGTAGTAGTAGTAGCAGCAGTAGTAGTAGTAGTAGTAGTAGTGCATATCTTATACATTTTTAAACAATTTTTAACAGTATTATCAACAAGTAACTTAAACTAAACCAACTGAACCTACTTCTAGTAGTAGTAGTAGTAGGAGTAGGAGTAGGAATAGTAGTAAGTAGTAGTAGTAGTAGTAGTAGTAGTAGTAATAGTAGTAGTCGTAGTCGTAGTAGTACATATCTTATACATTTACAGTATTATCAACAAGTATCTTAAAACTAAACCAACTGGACTTCTGTTAGTAATAGTAGTAGTAGTAGTAGTAGTCGTAGTCGTAGTAGTAGTCGTAGTAGTACATATCTTATACATTTACAGTATTATCAACAAGTATCTTAAAACTAAACCAACTGGACTTACTTCTGGTAGTAGCAGCAGTAGCAGCAGTAGTAATAGTAGTAGTAGTAGTAGTAGTAGTAGTAGTAGTAGTAGTAGTAGTAGTAGTAGTAGTGCATATGTTATATATTTTTTAACTATTTTTTACAGAATTATCAACAAGCTAACTGTAGGCTCTGCTCCGGCTGAAGACTCACGTCAGGCTTTAATCTGAGCTTTGTTTTACCACAGTCTGATCAGAAAGAGCTGACTTAGGTGGAACTACAACAGGTGAGATGAGTTGCGCTGTTAAACAAGTCTCACTTACGTAAAATTACAGTTTTTCAGTTAGTCATTGTCACCGTTTAATTGAAAATCAAACGCCTTAACAGGATCATGAACACCTGTATTGATCACGACTCACCATTTAAATCCGTTTTGTATTTTTTCTTAAGTTTTCAGACGATGGACGGATGAGCATTCCGTCGTAAACATACGGGCAGAACACCCCCAAAATGATGTCACTTCAAAGTATCAGTAAGAAGCCTGTAAAATGTTTCTATTTAAAAGCGTCTGGTATAATGATTAAGGTTTAATTATGGAATCAAACGTGAATCACCCTCATTTGAAGATTACTGGAGCAGAAACTTATTATTATTTTACATTAATTAAGCATGAATGTGTTAAGATGAAAGCAGGATCTGTCTAAACTGTTATTCCCTGACCTAAATACGGTAAGTATCAGCTAACACGTATTAAACCAAATCCAACTAAACCAGGACAAATCAAATCACTTCTGCTTACTTAAATCCACGTAATAGACCCTTTTTTTTGCTCAGTAGTTTGATAATGTTAGTCATTGTTCGCCTTGAAGTTTTCGTCTTTTTTACGTTGATAGTTGTGGATAAATTCTTCCTTTGTGGACCTTGATGGCTGAAGATTTGGTGATGTGGCAGATTTATGAAGCTGGTGGAAAATATGCCAGACATTTACACAGACGTTTTGCCATAAAAAAAAACCTATAAACCGAAACTTCCATCTGTTGTGGAAAAGGTCTATTCCATACTGATTTGTAAAGTCTGTGTAGGGTCATAACACCTGTTTTGTTATCTAACACTAAATGTGCGCATTTGAAAATCAGGACTAAACCAGGTCTAAACTACTGTGACTGGAGAAAGGGAACTAAGACAGAACCAACCAAAACATTTAAAGTGCATAAAATGTGTTTCAGCCTAATAATACAAGCAACAAAGAACAATACAAAAAGCATAAAAATAGCATACACAAAGCACACAAAAACAGACAATGATGCAAATAATTCAATTTATTTTAATAAATAAATAATAGAATAAAAATAAATAAGGAATAAAATCAAGTTAAAACCAGGTAAAGGAAGGCCAACAAAAAATGTGTTTTAATGTAAATGTAACTTGGTGCAAGACTTAAACGAGCTTTAAAAGTACAAAATACAAAATAGTGTTGTCATAATGCTAAAATTGCAAACTTGATTTTGATACTAAGGAATAGAGTCAATCCTCAATACTGATTCTGATACCAGAATGTTAAGTAAAAACTCTTTATTTAGACAAGCGAATGTGATTTTCTGTGTTAAATCATTCCCATGTGGCCTTACATCTGTGTAATCCTCAGTTGTGCGGTTCCATAGTGGTCCATGGTTGTATACTAGTCTATGTGCAATTATACATGTTTTGATACAGCTCAAGATCATTTTGATACAGCTCAAGATCATTCTAAAGCTGTACAGGAAAGCTTCATTTCTATTTTGTGAATGTGACTTTTTTGTGTTGATACCTGCTCAAATGAGTATTAGTTTCAGTTTTAGTATCTGATTTCCAATACTTTGACCACCGTAAACACTAGTCATAGTAGAGCCTCTGGAAACTCACTAAAATAGACAAAAAAGACACACCTGTAGCCCCCACACAGCTTTTCTGAGCTGTCAGAAGTGACAGCTAGTGTTACTTTACTGTGAAGCATTTTGGTGTTACCATGAAACGTGCTATATACAATTATTATTAGTAGTAGGAGTAATAACTTGAGTGAGTTCAAATGGAAATAGAATAGAAATTAAGCTAAATAAGTGCAGTTATTTATACTGTATACTTTCCAGATAGATTCACTTTTACTTTACTACAAACTTTACATATTTTAGCGCTTTTCACCGACTAATAAACAAAAATAAAATCCAGGAGCTTGAATGGCTAAATTAATACAGTCTAAAATCTAGTTTTAGTATCGATTAGTATCCAATTTTTATACTTTTGACAACCACACCTGTCACTTTCTACTTCACTGCAGGTCATATCAAACCATCTCAAAGCCACTTTCTTTTACTAACACTATTTTTGTCTTGTCTCACTCTGATAACCGCACGGATTGATTCTCTGCTGAAGTCAACTTTCCGGTTCCTCCGCTCCCGGGTGAGTTTTTTTTTTTTTTTGGTCTGGTAGGTCCGGTATGCACTGAGGAGGTAGGGCCAAAGTGCACTGAGCTCTGAGAGGGAGAGTCATGAACAGAACATAATTACAGCAGTCACAAGGCACTCCTGCTGCCGCTGTTACTATTCAACAGCCTTATTCAAAGCCCAACAGGTCACTAACATCTCCAGGATACCGTCTTTGATTACACCCACTGCTCATTTATTGATTTTTTTTGTGTGAATTTCCAGTTTTCATTTTGGATTTAGCGGATTGTTTCTAAGAATGGATTTGCTGCTGGACTCTGGCTAAAGTGGATTATACTGCACACTAATACAAATAAGGTGAGTGGAGATTTGAAAATACTTCATAGCTTTTTACAAATTTGGGTGTGATGAAAAATAATAATTAAGA